GGAGCGTTTTGCATAACTTCAACCCTTCAACCCTTTAAAGGGTTGAAGGCGTGCCAGCATTCCCGACGGTCCCAAACTAAGAATGTGACATCTGGAACGTCACGCCGGCCAAAAAGCACAAAGACAGTTTTTGTTGTTTCACTTTGTTCTTATTTAGGCTCCAAAGAAACAAACAAAGGTTTCTGTGAGAGGGCTGCTCGCTCCACGTGTGCATACAGCTGAGGAGTAACACGCCAACAACACGCCTGCAGAAAACTCCTGTTCAGACTAAAAGTGCACAAACAGCTGTGCAGACGAGGACCTGTCACTGCATGTCTGAATTGAGCTGCGTCTGTGGAGCGATGACCGACAGGTAACGAGTCAAAGAACGGATCGAATCTGATAAAAACCCTGAAAAATGTCAGACGTGTGCACAGCTGGATCAGCTGCTCAGGAAGGTTCCAGATGTGAACTTACTGTCAGTCATGTGAAAGCCAACGGCGCCCTCTACAGGACAGAGAGAGCAGCTCCCCACATGTGCTCTGAGCCTCTGATCAGAAGTCCCCAAACTTCACAGCGAGCGAGTCCCCGACAGGAAACACTCTGCAGGCATGTTTAACGAGTTTCTGTGTGTGTGTGTGTGTGTGTGTACCTCGGCTGATGGGGGTCACAGCTGGACTCTGGGGGCCCGGGCTGTTATGGCCGCCGTCCTGCGAGTCACTGAGGGTCCTCTGGGGTGGAGGGGGCGGGGTCTCGGGGGGCAGGAGGGGGGGCGTGGCTGGTAGGGGGATGTCCGGGGCGCTCTTGGTCCGCTCCCTCTCGGCCCCCCTCTCCCGGCTGCTCTCCTTTCGGGGTTTGATGAGCTTGACTAAAGCTTTGGCTCCGGCCCACTGACTCCTCCTGCAACACACGGCAGCGCGCTTAATCGATAATCAAGACCTGCAACACAGTGAGCACTCGCACTTTTAAACACAATCAGGGCTCTGATTGGACGACAAAGCAGGAAACGGCGTCACTCTTTCAATTTGTAGAGCGCCAAATCACAACAACAGTCGCCTCAAAGCGCTTTAACCGACTACACCTGGAAAAATCAAACCTCCACGAGCACGTTGGCTCTTTCATGTTTCTGAAACCTGCAGCCGCTCACCTGTTTGTCACAGGTGGGACAAACCTGGAGCACGCGTGAGCGCTGAGCAGGACTCTGGGATTCGGTCTGTAGATGCATATAGATACCCAACAGCTGATGCTGTGAAGTGTGGACTCTTACTTTTTAGGCGTGGGGTCGTAGAACTTGTACTGGTCCATGATCTTCTCCTCCAGCTTCTCCTTCTGACGACGGAGAGCGTTCAGCTTATCACTGACAAGACAGAAAGACATCGTCACATTTGTGATCCCTGACGGCACCGCGGCGCCGGGTGGAGTTTAGATCAGCGGTGTCAAACTCACTTTATGTCTGGCGGCCCACACACCAGTGCAACTTCCTGTCAGACGTTACAGATTCAGCTGTTTTTCTGTC